AACTTTTTAAAAGACACTAAATACGCACAGACAAGAAGTATAACATGCTATTTCGTGTTGTTCTGTCCGTTTTGACATCCGTTTGGTTCTTATAAAATCAAATTGAAATAGCAATAATACCCTTTATTTGGGCCTTTAATATCATCAGGTTTCTAAAGTACTACTTTCAAGTCCTCCTCTAGCACTCTCTTGTCTTGATATTTCCAATCTTTAATAATTTCGGTGTTTCTCGATCTCGTGCATGTCATTTCCTTCTAGACGCGGCCAAAACACGAATATTTGTTTTGATCATGTCTTCAGATGCCATTTTAATAAAATTACTTCTCGTTGTAATTATTCTAGTGGCGAAATCACCTTGAAACGTGATGATATTTTTCCTGCTTTCAAGCCTAAAATTCGGTCTAGAAATATTGTTTTTATTTTGTACAGGATTATTATAAGGTTCAAAAGTATGACAAAAAAATTTTGTGATAGAGGAATTAAAATGCTTTACAGGGTACTTCCCCCCTGAAAATTCTTAAGAAAAAAAGTATAGGCAAATTGGCCATGTTTCGACAGACCTGTGTTATATGTAATATGAAGACTAATAATGATTTTTTAACCCTTTACTTTTTAATCAATCTTGTTGTGCTTGAGGTAAAAATATGCCTCAATATTTACCCCTTTGAAATTTCTATCATCTGCCAGCAGCTTATTCAGCTGGCTGAATGACCTTTCCACTGCAGCTGATGTGCAAAGTAATTTTTCAATCATTTTCCGTGTTTTTGTTTCAACGGACCCCTAATATAGTGGTGTGAAAAACTGCGGAAATGCGAAAATGAGGGTTAAATGCCTAACAAATGGGGAAATTTTATCGATTTTAAACACACTGAAATCACTGTTCGTGGTATGTCCGGTGACTTCTATATTGTAATTAAATGAAACCTTCAAATATATTTCTGGGATAAAAATTTACCCTGGTTTTAGGTCACTTTTTGCTCTGTACAGATGTGATAAACTGCGGAAGTGTCGATTGAAAAACGCACGGAACGATTATGACATAGATACAGTGATACTATACTACAGCACATGTACATATGAAACAACAAGAAAAAGCACAACAGATTTTTACTCATAGTCAAATGGTGTCAAAATCATGCTTCTTCATCTTCTTCAAGCGAGCAGGCAAGGCACTGAAATGCTTTCGGATAGTTGCAGGATTGACTTTAGAAGCCTCATCCACAATTACCCTGAGCAGATCATCTTTGTTGATGATTTCACCCTGCCTCTTATTGACCCTCTTCTTGAGCCATCCCCAGACAAACTCAATAGGATTGAGGTCTGGAGACTGTGCAGGATGAAAGCCCAAGGTAATGTTCGAGTCAGCGAACCACCTAGAAGTCTTTTTAGACTTATGACAGGAGGCATTATCCTGCATAAAGACCATGGTTTTAAGGTCTACCCCAGAAGTAATCATATCATCAAGAACAGTGTCTCGAATCAAACTAATGTACTTCGATGAGTTCATGATTCCATCGATAGGGTAGACCTTAAAAACACCGGCCCGGTGATGAAGCCCCAAATCATCAAGCCACCGCCTCCGAACTTCTTAGTCCGTATCACACGATGTGATGGGGCCGGATCTTTAACTCCTTTGTAGTAGGTTTGACCACCTACAGCCCCAACGATTCGAAACGTACTCTCATCAGAAAAGACGAAATTTTTCCACTCCTTGTACGTGTTGTCCTTGTACAAGGAGTGGTACTTCTTTCTAGCTTTCAAGTGCACATCAGTTAGCACAGGTGCTTTGCTCTTTCGGTAAGATTTGAATCCGTTTTCTGTCAGAATTTTTCTGAACAGTGAATTATCGATTCTCTTACCGAAGTTTTTAAGAGCAAAGGCAGCAGCACCCGAACTTGTCTGTAGGAAACCAGACTTGAAAAGTCTTAAAACAAGGTTCGTTTCTCGGGAAGTGAGCACCTTTGGCCTACCCACTTTCCCAGAGAATTTTTGTGCCCTGTGCTTCCTGATAGTTTTTTCGTCGCAACCAAGCTTTCTTCCCAGCTTTCGATTGGACAGTGCACTATTCGATAAATCGTTGATCTCATCTATGAAGCTTTTAGAGAGTTTCTTCATGAGGGTTTGTTACTAACAATTTATTCAAATCTCTGAAAAGACTAACAGTATGTTTTTAGTATAAAGTACGGCATTATAATGGTATTAATTACATAATTATAGACTTTGGTGATCTAATAAAACACTTCCGCAGTTTTTCCCATCACGATAGTCTCCGTTATGTAATTTCTCTGGTGTGTATCTCATATTTTGTCTTGTTATACCATTATTAAGCTAAATTCATAGGGTTTTAAAGCAATATTGTCTTACAGAGATTATTTAACGAAATTTTTAGAAATTTCCCTAGTGTTTTTTCAAAATTAACCCTCATTTCCGCAGTTTTTCACACCACTATATATAGGTCTCCGATCAAATGATCAGACAGCCTTTGTCTCAAATACCTTGTAATACCAATACGAACATCTTCAAATTTCAGAGAAGATAAAATCTCGTATCCCTTCTTGATATTTGTGTCTTTTTTCTCAAAAACCGTTATAATTTTGCTCAACACAGCAAAATTGTTTGCAATGTACCTGATGTCTCTAATCATATTGCCATCCGCAATATCCTTTAGGACCCCGTATCTTCCCAGGCCTTTTTTTCTCAAATTTGATCAATATTTTCCTGATTTGATCAGTATTCTCGGCCAAGAAGATTGCAAATTCTATATATGTTCCCCAACGTATGTCGAATGGCCTCTTGAAAGGCCCAATCTTCCTCAACTCCAGGTTAATCAGCTGAAAACATACGTAGCACAATTGTGTACTAGGTGTGCAAGGCATGTAATATGCTTAATGTGGGCATATTTCGCTGATAACGGCCTATAATATGCACCGTTATAAGATGCCACATCAGTAATCAGTAGCATCAGATTTTCGAACCTCAAGCTATAAATCCAAAGATTTCATTGACTAGTGAGCTCAAAGTCTTGCTCGAGCTCGGTTCGGCTGTATTCCGGCAGACGATCAAAAATTCTTTACCTGGTTCGTCGCAGAAACCACACAGAAAGTTCCAAAACTTTCGCTTCTTAATTGGACTTTCGTCCACAATAAGATATAGTTTCCTATTGGTCAGCATCAACCGAATTTTTTGCTGTTGATCAGCAAAATATTTTGTATTACCCCCTCACATAACTCTCCGAAACTAAGGGTACACCAAGGTCCCTTAACATCGTACGAAAGTGCTCGTTTCGGAGTTTGTGTAGGGGGAACATCGCTTTTTACCAGGCCTTTTGTAAGGATTTCAGCCGTTGTTAAGGCTCCTGGTTGCTCAACTGAGCTATCCGTGTCGTCTTCCCGTGTATTTTTAAGGTGTTTTGCACACTTAAGGTGCTCTTTAAGATGCTTTAACCTTAGTGATTTGAAAACCTGATTACAGGAACTACACCTTATAAACTTTCCAAGGAAACTTTCAAAACAAGCAGGGAGTCTGTGTAGTATCTTACCTGTTTTACTACTTAGCGTGGTTGTATGTTGTACCATAACGAATGTTTTTGGTAAGGATTTTAGTAAAGTAAGGGGCAAAACACAAAAATGACCTTGTTAGAAAACTTCGTTGTTTTGTAACTCAATGATAAAGCACCAGAACTTTTAGCAAAAAACATAGGCTAACAAACACTTTAAGAATTGTTTTTTGTGGATGCCCTGCGGAGTGTACCATATTCCTAAGTGTATACAACTCCACTGATATTATATATATTCAAAGGTGTGTTTACCGTCGCTCTGCACGATTTAATAGTGCACCTCAAAGTTACTTTGCACTCATCCTTATGTTTCACTGTGTGTAGCACTTGAGGATTAATTACACGCCATCTCTCGAATTAGGTAAAATTGGGAATACTAAGGATAAGTTCCATTGAAAAAATGAACCCTTCTTGTAAACGAAAGAATTATCGTAATTATAAGGTTTAAAATTGTGTTTGAAATACAACATTTATAACATCATATTGTCACTCAAAACACCGCAAATTTAAGTTAGGTTCATTACAAAATAGTGAATCTGATTTTGTAGGCAACAAAGATAATTTAGCAAATTTTTAAAGCCCATGGCAATACGAACAGCAGGAAGTTATGTATCGAAAAGTAAGGGAGCAAAGAAGAATAAGAGCAGGGGAAAGGAG